AAACATAGAAAAATGATACTTAGAACAGGGCCATGCTAGCATCTTAAGTAAATCAGGAAAAGCTGGCTCTTCATTCAGGCTGACACAGCCATAGATCAGGGCTTGGCAAGCAGTGCACAGGCTGGATTTCTGCTTATCTCTCAGCCAGGCACTCCTGCATTAGTACATGTGGTCCCTTGGCTTAGAAGATGGACATGCAAAAATGATGCAGAGGACAAAACAATGTCTTCCAACCGTACACAGTTTAAAGCCACATCCACATCGTTTTTCAGAGGGACAAGGCGAGGGAAAACAATGCCCAAATAAATGCATATACTGACACATTTTATACTAAGCAAAAGGAATTTATTACAAAGGGGCAAACTTTTAGCTTAATTCTGAGAATGAACGCCAATGAACAGTGAATGAATTACTCAAAACAAATACTCAAGTTATAAAGCCAGAGGATCATACAGTCTTAATGGTTTAGCAAGATGAGAAGAGAGAAGCAAAGATATTCATTTGAAATTAACACAAAGGTCTTAACAACATAAAAAATTACTTACAAAACTAAAGTGTTGACAGACACAATATATTCCAGTTCTTTGGTCCAAGGATTTGTGAAACTAAACCACTGGCTTTTTAAAGTTACGAAAGAGCCATCTTTTGCTCTGAATTTGTATGAATCTGTAAATATTTTCTCTTTACTCTGTAGAACTTAACAAGAAAAGAAAATAATCAGCATAACTATACAAATCAATCCCTGGAGGATTAATTCAAGGTTCAGATTTCATAGGAATGAGAAATTGAGAACTGAAGCTGTAAAATTAAAAAGTACCCCAAAAACGACCCCATTGAATGCATACCTGCTTTGTGCTTGTCAGTCAAATTACTATGGTCATCTTGATGAAAATATTCGTAACAAGAAGTTCCCAAAAGCTCCTGAGGCAGGTATCCTAAAATTGCCGTTGCCCTGGTTGTAAAATTGAAAATCAAGTTCAGGATTGGCGAATGTATTCCATTTCAGAATACTGAAGGTCCACACATGGTCAAGACAGCAGGGAAGGAGACCAGGGGATAAGTAACCCATGTGTATCATGGGGCTCCCTTTGGCTGCCCTGGACCACAATTAGAGCTGCAAAGCAGAATGGACATCCAGGCACCAGGCTGCTCGAAGCCACCCACCCAACCCAGGGTACACTATTCTGACCATTCACCACTAAAGGTGTGGCCATGGACCATGCCCAGTTTCTGCACCATTGGCTAAGAAATATTTCCATTTTACAGTTTGGCTTGAACAAATTTACAGATCTAGCCACATCCTTATTTCATTTGAACTTTATTTCCTGTTCTAAAGCCTAAAAAAAAAAAAAATCCAGCAGTGCCACTAAGCCACATCTTCAATACCCTTAAATACTTCATTGAATTCTAATCAGTATGGCACATAAATGTTTACCTTTGGTCCACATAGACAAACTTTCCATTCATTGCAAAACGGGTTATAAATTCAGTTGGTTTCACTTTAATCTCCCCACTGTTCTGTGGGCCAATACATGGACGTAACCTGCCAAGGGCAACGAGGCAGGTAGAGTTGCTTCTGTCTTTCTTATTTTCCCTTTCTTCTTCCATCCCAGCAGTATTTGGAGGCCAGTTTCTCAAATAGCCAGTGCAGTGGATAGTATAGAATTTTCTATGATCTAATTCAGAAGTTTAAAAAAAAATAACATTTGTCAATTATATCTCAATAAAACCAAAAAAAGACAAAAATTTTAAAAAGCATTTGAATCACTATGGATAAATTCTTTTTTTGTTAAGTTGGAATAGTCAGTTACAATGTGTTAGCTTCTGGTGTACAGCACAATGTCCCAGTCATGCATATACATACATATGTTCGTTTTCATATATAAATTCTTAAATTTGTTACGTTGACATTTATAATACCTCTAATTGTGCTCTGAAATATTCTTTAAATACACTAAATATAAAAGGGGAATAGGATTGCATTAAAAAAAATCATCAATCACATTTACTTAACAACTTTATTCTTAATGGGTTATGTTTCTCAAGAACTAAACTACAGGTACTACATCAAAATGATTGTTTTAATTTTGATTTAAGTAAGTCTATAGCTATTTAATTATTTCCAAGTCAATTTTTAAAATTACAGTAATTTATATGCTAGAAAAAGTTAAACTTCACGCTCCCTTGCTTTTAGCCACATAAGTATTGTTTTCAGCTCATTTAAATTTTGGTACATTATCATTTATATTCATAAATTGAAAGGACAATTATGCATATACTCAAATTTCTTACGTTAGCACTTACAACAGTTAATAGATATTTATGATTATAACATTATAGAAACACTACCAAGAATATTTAGAGAAATTTATACTAAAATGTATAAAAATAAAATTTGGCTCAAATTTCAATTTTTAGAAAAATACCAAGCAATTAACTCATAAGAAAAAGCTCATCAAACGGATCCAACCAGAAAAATAAAAAATTGGAAATAATCTGTATGTTCAAATATCAAGAAATGCCTGAGAAAACAATGACAGTATTAAAGAAGGGCAGTATACAGATGACAGTAACCTACAAAAAGTGACTGAAAGGTTAAAAGAGGTGGAGAGGGCTGGTAAAAATTATCTAAAACAGTTGTTTCTGATAAGATTTAGAAAAGACCAGAACCGTCGTTGTTTTAAGTTGGCACTATTTGCGAAGACTGTTGTTACAAATCTTTAAAAAAATAAGATTTTAATGGGGGATGATGTGGGTTGTCTCACAGCCACTGACAGTGAGAGCAAAGGTGTAGAGAACACTTTATGTGCTGTGCTCTGTTTTAAGTGCTCTAAATGGATAATTCATTTAATCTTCTTAATAGTCCTATGAGGGGTTCTCATACTGTCCCCATTATCTTAGGAAACTGAGAAGTACTGCCCAGATCAGAGCAGGGAAGGGTGGAGCCAAGGGTTACATCCAGAGGGCCAGCTACGGAGCTCCCTTTCTGAACCACGGATGTGGTGCTATTTGATGGTAGTGAGTGCTCTGTCATGGAAGGTGTTCAGACTGGAGTTGCCTGGGTGACGGAGGGGAGGCTATGAAAAGGTGTTCCAGCCAGAGGGAACAGCTAATGCAAACAGAGTCCAGAGCGAGCAGTCAGAGGGGCTGAAGCACCATCTGCGATGGGGAAGTGGCTGGAGATTAAAGCAGGGAACAGTTTAAGCTCCTGTAAACCCTGCAGAGGACCTTGTACCCAACACCCAAAAGATATCACCCATCCCCTCCACCGCCCACAGCTGCCTTAAATTACAAGCCATTATCTCTCCCAATCCCAAATGAAGCCTCTAACACTTATTCCCTATCCTGCTTAATGGCACCACCATCAACCCAGGTCGTTAAATGAGAAACCTGGGAGTAGCTACGCCAGGCTTCTCCCTTTACCTCACCCAACATCCAACATCCCTTAAAGGAATTAAAAACTGGGATAAGTGTAAATACACAGTTTTCATTCATGTCAACAAAACGGGATGGCAATCAAAAATAAAAAGGCTTACGCTTGAGATAACTTGGATGGACCTTGAGTGGATTATGCTAGGTGAAATAAATCAGACGGAGAAAGACAAACAGCATATGATTTCAGTGATACGTGGAATGCAAAAAACAAACAAAAAATGAGCAAACCAAACCAAACAAAAACAAACACAGAGACAGAGAACAGAGTGGTGGTTACCAGAGGGGAGAGGGGCGAAGGGAGGATAAAATGGGTAAAGGAGATCGACTACATGGTGATGGATGGACCCTGTTTGGTGGTGAGCAGGCTGTAGTGTGTACAGGAGCAGAAATAGAATGTTGTACACGTGACACTTAGATAATGTTACAAAGTTATCTCGATTAAAAAAATTTTTTAAAGGCTTGTACACTGACTTAGGCATTTCTGATGATGCTTGCAAATGTACAAATGGTGCTGACTAAAAATATTCTACTCAACTGAAAATAGACTAAAATTTTTTTACATTTGCACATGGAGTCTCATCATACTGAACTCAGCCTTTTACTTCAATTCTTCTCTGACAACAAGGTGCCCAACAATTCCAACTTAATCTTTTCCCTCAACTCTCCCCTTGAACATTTATTCAGTTGGCAAATGATGGAATTTGACCCATCTGATCAATTATCTAAAGCTTTAAAAAATACATTAAAAATCCTCTTATCCCAAGAATTCTTTAGACTTTTACCTAAATATTGGGGTCATGGGCCCCAATCCTCACCAAACTATTTTTTCTAATTGAAATATAGTTGATTTACAATGCTGTGTTAGTTTCCGGTATACCTCAAAGTGATTCAGTTATACATACATATACATATGTATTCTTTTTCAGATTCTTTTCCATTTTAGGTTATTAACAAGATATTGAGT